GCAGCACAGTCGAAATCTTGCTGAGAAATTAATGAAATGTGGCTAAAAGGTACTATGCAGTGACCTTTGAGGTGGTTATGTAAAACGTCCATCACTTGGCACGGCTATTTGCACTCCATTCAGCTCATTCAATTGACAAGCACCTTTATCCAATTAATTTGCACAAGACTGTATTATTTGTTGTCGTGCAGTCAAAATGGACATGCTGCCGTGGCGGCCATATTGTTTGACCAATTGCAGTCAAAATCTATTGGGTCCATCCCTGATGTAATAGCAATCATCCCGCAAAATTTCAGAGATATCAGTTCATTACTTTTTGAGTTATCTTGTACATAATCAGAGAGACAGACAAACCAATGCCAGCAAAAACATTACCTCCTTGTTGGAAGTAATAGTGTATTTGAATATATACAGTCGCTGGACTCAAGTGATGTTTCACAGATGCATGTTTTAAATGAGTATATTTTACAAGTATGGTTGGACCACAGTGTTGATCCTATCATAATGTACATTGCACTTTTATTATTATTATTATAATAATACTAATATAATAGCATTTTTTTTTCAGTATAATGCATTGTAATTACAGTATGCTGAGGACCTCTCCATATACTGGAATAAATATTGTAGTTCTGTGAGGGTGTTCTCACACTGGGTTCAGACTTACAGGGTTTTTGTTCCTAGTCACATGTCTGAATGTGTGTACTAACCAGGCCCAACTTGTAGTGTGCATGACCGCAGCCCTGAGCTTCATCTCCTTTATGTGAGTGAATCATTGTTTCATTTCACCAACATGGAACGGATAATGCGGGGCTTCCATTTCATGCCAACATGTGAACCTTTCACATGTGACTCAAATGTGATTGTTTACTTCTACTTATGAAGTCCCGTGTAGGGTATTACGTGGCGGTTTCGCTTTTCAAATATTGACACTCATACTCGGAAGGTTGTTTGTACATTTGCGCTCTGGTGTACGGTATTCGGCATTGATACTTTCCCAGGTGAGACGTGAGCTGTGGTTGCAGTTCTGCACATTGACCTGTTTTCGGAGCCGTTTCAGAATCGCGCGCTGACAAGCTCCCACGGGAGGAATGCCTGTGTTGTAGTGGTTGCAGCATTGAAGCGTTCCTATTTGTCGTGTGAAGTGATTTCAATTTTCTCCATTGATGCGTTCCCTCGCGGTGCCTGGTGGGTGTGTTTCCAACAAGTGCAGCGTGGTTTGTTGTGGTTTTGATTTCAGTGTGTGAACGGTGCCGTGTGCTAATTAGTGTTTGCACTCCGGGGAATGATCACAAAGGTTGACTTCACTTTTATTCCAAAGAATAATGTACATACATTCATAGCATACGCTATCCTCTTCATTTTAATCTCCCCCAGCAGATACATGCTTGTTTCAATGCCATTTTTGGAAGCAGTACCGCTAGCCTTCAAGTAATAATGTGAGTAATTTCTACTTTCACATTATTAGGGATGGTTTGAATGCCATCAAGCCTCGCTCAAATTAGTTTTTTTTTTTTTTTGGGAGCAGAATAAAAATGGCACCGAACATGACCGGGAGAATAACAGGGATTAAGTAGCGCCAGAATGTGTTTTTCTGTTAAAAATTCACTGAATTGTCAGTCTGTTGTTGTGACAATCAAGGCAGGAGACATGCCCGGCTTTGAAATCATTTTTTTGTATCACGGGTTTATAGTCAAGTGAAATATCTCGGTTCAGGAGCAGATCATTATTTGTGATTTGCACACACCTGAGTGAAGTTCACTGCCTTGCTGTCGGAGTCAGTCACAGGAGAGTCGTCTTATGACTTTACAGTCGGGCTTCGTATTACAATACATAAATGCAATTATGTGTTTCCATTCACGAACGCGCATCTGCAGACCAAATCGGATCTGTTTGGAGTAATTATTGTAATCTTTCCATCCCTGACAAATGCAAATCCTCCGCAGAATTTACACCGTACGAAATCCTTTCTCGTCAGACGTTAGCCCGAGTCTCTTTCTTTTTGCGCTGACCCCATGCTATTGATTTGTTTCACTGGATTCCGCTATAATCCCTCGCCCATGCAGGCGGGCGAGATTTGGCTGGCGTTAGCAGATGTTCTAATTGGCTGTGTTACAAATTTAGGCGCGGTCCGGCCCCCGTTATTCGTTCCCGCGTTCGCCGCCTCTTGAATTATTAAGCGCAGAACGTTATCCCTGCTCATTTATTTTAATTTGTCTGCTTATTGGTTTTCGGATGCCTTCTGTATATGGGCTAATTTATTATGCATGAACTTCAGGGAGGTATTAGAGTGTTGGGAGATGTGTTGTGTGCACGGTGGGCTTAGTGCCAGGGCTGTACTATAAACCAAGATTCTGAGGCTATATACCCCCCACTTCATTCGTCAGATATCTGGATCCTATTCAATGCCCCCGCCCCCCATAGCTACAACTGTCTCCTCCATCAAGGTTTTCTGAGAGTGCGCCTCGACACCAGCCCTCCCTAAACAAAGCCGTGCAAATTTTGATATCTCCTGCAGCAAGCTGTACCAAAACCCCCCCCCTCCACCAACCGCTTTATCTGTGGGTTGCAGAACTACGGGATGCCCTCCAAAAGATCCCGCTTTCCCCTCGAAACGTCACTCTCATCTCCGCGGAGTGGCAGGAATATGAGAGGCAAGATGAGCCGGCTTCTTGGCCCGAAAATGAGCATCGATAGGCGGCCACTCTGTCACCGAACGTTGCTGCTCTCCTGCAGCTTTGTCGATAATCCAGGCCCGGGGTTCTTTGCCTCTTCCAGAAAGGGCTGGTGTGGGTGCCATTTTCATTCCTGCCACACAGTTACATTCCTTTATCCTACTGATCATCCCGAGGAGTCTTTGCTAAAGAGCTTGATTAGCAGGATCAGGTGTGTAACTGCTTAGTTGGACCGAAAGCCTACAGCCACACCAGCCCTTTCTGGATAAGATTTAGTACCGCTGATCCGGTGAATGATTGGCTGGACAGCCTGCTGTCAGTCTCTTGGAACAGTCATGCTCAGTGGAATGGCACAATTATAGATAGTGTCCCTTTTTGCAGGCAGAGTGGCATTTTGTACTGTAAATTTCACAGAATAAATGCAGTGACCTTGAAAGACCTTGAGAATTTCATTGGCTTTTAGCGGAGTGTTTAAGGGCAGCCAGATGTCCCAGCATGAGTCGCGCTTTCAGGATCTGACCCACGCGCTCACGCTTCCAAACGCTTCTCCTGCCAAATTCAGAGGCTGCAACTCAAAAGACGGTCGCTTTCCGATTAAACAAATAATTGAGCAGCTTGCAGGGCAAAGTGTAATCGTGTAGGAGAATGCAGTCCCCTCGCCCTGTTCCGCAAAGGCAAAATACCACATCCCAGCCAGATTGGTAATGGCAGCGAGCCAGCAATACTGTGAACAGGACGGAAGAACAACAACAATCATCATCCATCAGTCATCCATCAATCAATCACCAATTATCTATCCTCTTATTCCAAGAATCGGGGTGAGGTGACCTCTTCCCTCACTCTAGTAAATTTGCCAGCTTATCTCCGACATCAAAGTGCAATCTTGGGACAGCAGCGAAATGTAGCCCCTCCTACATGTCCTGGGCCTGCACGTTGGTTTGCTTCCTGGATTACGCGCCTGAAACACCATCACATGGAGGTGACCAGGGAGGCGTCCGTATCAGACCCCCAAACCATCTGAACTGTCTCCTCTTAACATAAACCTAAGCTTCTCCTCAATGACTGAGCTCCTCGCCTGTTGAACACAGCGAGAAGGTCTCATGTCTGAATTTCAGTTAGGCCTACGCAGAGCTTGCAGGTCGTAACCTTCTCCAGTTTGTACGTGCATTTAAATATGGTTCATTGGGGAATGTCAATTGCTCATAGAAAATTGTGCGTGTCAATAATGTGTGCGGTTGAGTGACCTATCCTGGGTAATATCTTCCTTTCATACTGTGTGGACTGTGATGGACTGAAGCTGTTGGCTGCTCTAACCAAGCAGAAGCAACTTAGAGACTGGACATATGCGTATTGATAAAAATACAGCAGGAGGTAGAAGAACGTGGGTTCGGAATCTCCCGGAATGTAGCTTCAAGCTGGAAGAAAAGCTTGTAAAACACAGGGCCGTAACTGTTGTAGCGGATTGCTCGCAATGAAAGGTTAAACTTGAGAGCCGAGATAGTAAAAGTCCACACACAGCACCCCGCCGAGATCTATAAGAGCGAAGACGTGCCCTCTCCTTGGCAGGCGAGGTGCTCCGCCATTATGCTTTCCCGTATTAGCTGAGCGCTCCGCTTGTGATTTCACTGGGGTTTTGGCAGCTAGCATAGCTGCAGATCTCTGAAGTGACCTGGGCTGTCTGGGAGCCTGAGCGGCTGGATCAATTCCAACTCCCCCCAGGCGAATGGGAGCAGATCGGGTCGTTTCGATTTTCCATTCATTCCTAAGATCCGGTCGTTTGTTCGCGTCGTTGCGAGGGGCGTGACGTGTGCCCTCTGGCCGTAAGACGAGCACCACTAACCGCGTTAGCCATTGTGAAGGAGAGCATCAGCGTCCCCAGTGATGAATCCAGCCCTGCCTCGGCTCACCTCGCCTTCTGCGATGGACTTGTATACCCAGCGAGGCCACTTAAACAAATTTCTAATTGCAATCAACGGGCTGACATTTATTTTGCGGCCTTTTAATGAGACGGCCTAATTCATCGATTGTCTCTTCGTGCTGCAAAAGACTGAGCAAGTGGCCGATTAGGCTTGGAAAATGCACACAGCACAGGATAATCACCCCTTGCCAATGTGTCTCGGTTTATTCAGATTAGGGGAAATTTGAAGACCCCAGGTGCATTCAGATGCATCAAGGAGAACACGTAGCTATCAGAGCTAAATATCCATAAGACCTGCATGAAAAAAGTGTTTTTTTATATTTTATTTATTCAAAGAAAGATGTCAGAGGCAAACATTTTGCAGTCTTACATGGCTACATCATGCAATACATACACATGGCATGGGAGACGCGGTAGCACAGTGGTCAAGTAGGCTTGACTTGGGATCGTAAGGTCCTGAGTTCAAGCCCCGGCCACGGCCTTCGCGGTGTGTTCTTGGGCAAAACACTTCACTCCCACACTCCACGTCTCACTCCACCCAGGTGTATAAATGGGTACCAGCAAATAGGCAGGGAAACATGACTAAGAGCTGGGGAGTACCTGCGATGGACTGGCATCCCATCCAGGGGGAGTAGTAATACTCCTAGTCGCTTCATGCCAGAGAAACCAGGGTTAAGCACCGGCCTGATGGGCCATTTAGGCTCGTAACAAGCTTACTCTCGACATGACTACACCTGTCGTGGCTACACCAGCGGCTACCTGTCCAATCAGCTCAACAATAAACAGCGACTTTCAACGGCGACTTTCAACGTTGTGACTCTTGGTCATCCTGACGCTTGCTGCAGGCTGTCATTCATGTCATTCTGCTTAATCCTAAGTGCTTTCTTTTGGTAAAGCTCTTTTCATGAGGGCAGTAACATGCCTCTGCAGTGAATCCAGCCGTCACCTGCTGATCTCTTTATCATTTATATTGTTCCATTTGCATTTCATGACTGTATGTGATTTTGTGGACTTCTGAGGTTGAGACTGTTCTTGTATGTTTAATTATATGGAGAAGTCGAACACTGGATTAACCCCTCCCCCCATCACCGTCCACTGTAGTTCAGAAGCTGCATGTCGCAGCATTGAAGGTGTGTTTGGAAAACTACCTAAACGTAAATCCTTCAGGATGGATGTTTTTTTTTAACCTTTATTTTCGCGGGGAAAGTCCACTGAGAACATATTTATCTTTTTCAAGGATCCCCTGGGAGAAATTATTGATTGAACGGTGGCAAGTGAGGAGGGACAGAGAGAAACCGGGGCAAAGCCCCTGGAGCAGTTTTTGGGGTTAAGAGCCTTACTCAAGGGCCCAAGGGCCGAGTTCTTCCCAACTTCATCTCTCCAAATAATGTCAGAATCTCATACCCCACTGGGGGCTTGAACCAGCAACATTGGTTAGTTGTCAAGCGACCTATTACTAGACCCCAATGTGGATTCTAGCATAAGCCCTCCCCACAAGCTCAGTATATCTGGGACAAAATATGATTGGCTCCTGAGGAAGGGAAGGGGTGGAGCCTCACTGCATAGTAGTCACTCTCTTTTTGAGACCCTGAAAGATGGGAGGGTTCCTACCTGTGCAACCCCATTGGAAGGAGCGATAATTAATCCTTCAACTTTGTCACGCCAGTGCAAAGGACTGCGAGTTCCCTGCCTGCCAACAAGAAAATAAAAATCCCTGGCGGATTGATTGAGGGAAATGTGAGAATAAATCAGTGAAATCGGGTCCCGAGCTCAACTCCGCAATGTATGTCCTGAAGCTTGCCCTTACGGTCTGTCACTTGTTTTTTGAGCAATGCCTGTTGTTGGATGGATTTACGTCCGTTAGGCCCATTACATGAGCTGTTGGAAGGCTCTGCGGTAGCTTTTTACCGGCCACGAGATTCAGCACCTTACTGCTGTGGGACTATCAATAACGCTACCTCTGCAGATTTAGGTTAGGGGTGCGGTGACAAGAGAAGCTACCTTGAAAATACAGCTAAGATAAAAACTAAGAGTTCTCCCAATGTAGAAGTGTTAAAGCTTCAAGCTGTTACAAATTAAAAGCGGCCGGCTGTTCAACTCACCTCCTGTGAAAATTAGTCTTTTTTTTTAGCTTTTTGAAGAGTAAAATAGTTTCTCAGTGTTTTTTCTTTTTCTTTTTCATCAGACCACTGAGTCATTGTCCTTGAACCTATTTTTGTTTGGTTACTTGCAGTCATTGGCATAGAATTCTAAAATGGACATGGATGTCTCAAACTGTCGGCCATATTGGGTAAAACTTCTGCTGCCAGCTACTGGCGGCTCAACGATGTAGAAATCTGTAGTCTTACGTTTCTGATGTCACTGCAGTTCACAAAAATGTCTGTCTCACCTAAGATGGCACGCATTATCGGCACATTTGGGATAACAGTACCCTCATCATACTATCATGGCCGATGGGGTATTGTCATCATGATGGCATCTGTACGTCTGTCTGTCTGTTTTTCTGTCTTTCCCACATTTTTCGCTGGTGAGTACTCTGTAGCTATTAATATTTAACACCTCATACTCATCATATGCAAGTACTTTGGGCTGTAGATGTGCAACAACCTATTTTTGTCGGGATTTGACCTTTTACCTAGGTGCGGTGACCTTGACCTTGAAAATTTTATGCAGGCTGCTTCTCAACAATTAATATTTGCAGCAATGTGAAAATAACCATATATAAAGCGCATAGGATGGACCTGTGCATCGTCTGTTTGTATTCCACGTTTGACCGTTGACCTAAAAACTATGAATGCTTTTTCACTCTTGCGCAGAAAACAAATCTCCAAATTTTTTTATTACGAAGCAAAGACATGATTGTGTATAGAGGATGTATTTATGCACAAAAATATTTTTTGTTCAATTTAGGTCACTGTGACCTATTTATGCTAATTATTCATAAAATATGTTTTGTTCAGTTTCTTCTCTGTGACCTACAGGCCTTGTATCAGGTATTCATGAGCACCTTCATGATGATTCCAATCTGTCTGATATAATGGCAAGGCTGAGGGGCCTTTAGTGCCGTGCATGTTAATTCTGTGGTCATTTGTACATCGGTATTAGAATGATCAGGAGAGAATAGTCTTAGTATCGTTCCTCATTAAACATTCGTGTCAGGTATTAGAATCTTAATTAAACAACTTTTTATTCTCTTATAATTTCACTCCTTTAAAAAGTAAAATTGTGTCAATAGTTAATTTTCATATAGTAAAGAATTCTGATGATGAGTTTGTTCCCTCATTAAAGCAAAATTCACCATACATGTGAACTGTGTATGCATTATACACAGTCATAAATTTTTATAAACTGTATTAAAGCATGCGAGTGGCTATGCTTGCATATAGATGTTTTGTTGTGAAATCACCACTCATTATTTGGAGCAGTCTCATTATATCTTCAGGAGAGGCGATGCTCTTCTTTTTCTGTGACATTTCATGCTAGTTACCCCCGTCTTTTATATTAAGTGCATTCAATTCATGACAGTTTTCAAATGCAGTGTCACGTCTAAGAGGGAAAAAACTTTCACTAATAAACTATCGGCTTTATGACTGTATTGACCTTATCACCTCCATCAACAGTTGAATTCGCACCAAGGTGACCATTACTGACAGCCAGGAAATATATTAAAGATTTCTTAATGTAATATTCACTAATTGCTCGGTTCCTGTTTTATTTTTGTGCGGGTTATTGCAGGTAAACCTTGCGCTGAAGACTGAAGCTGCTGTGCCGTTACCTTGTTGTTCTGAGACAAAGGGCCGTGATTTGAATTCTAATGTTTTCATGCTAATTAGCGTATCTTGTTTTGCACGTTCTGATCTTTACACTCAGGTAACCGCTGCTACACAGACCATCATGTGGGTTGGGGTGACGTCAAACCTGAACTCTGCTGGTGCTTGTCCTCATTTTGGGGGTAAATAGCACCGCTGTTACCTCGCGTCTGGATTTACGAGCATCAGGGACGATTTGCGGATCGCCCCATCGCGGTAGATTTAGATCCTCGAATGTTGGCAGTCCTTTTGCGGTAGTATTATCCCTCTGAAATTGTGCGAGCTGAGAGGAAGGCTTTGGAGGCCTCACAAAAAAAGCAGAGCCGAAATAAATAAAACAAAGCGCGCGAGGTTGGCTCATGTCTGCTTGCAGCTCGGAGCAGTTTGGAACTGCATCAGTCTTGTAAAGTTTCGAGTTTCTTCCGGCGAGAAGCTGCCGGCTTATCCTCATGACTAATTCCGAAGCCGTCGGGAATTTTCCTCCCTCAGTCAGAGCGACTCCTTTAGCTGACGGGGCCGCGGATAGGATGTGCGGAGTCGAGGTTCATCAGGAATTCCTGTCGGGAGCCTTATCTGAGATGAGGTTTAAAAAGCCAGCATCTGATCCCAGAGATTCCTTCAGCTTCCTGTCATGAGCAGTCATAAAGAATTTCTGTGCCACAGATCCTCAGTATGAATTCAAACTTATGGCGCATTATCCTGTTTTGAAATATTCACTATCTCACCTGAGTAAGCCCAAGAAAAATGACAAATAATAAAAATTTGGGGAATACAAATCTACTCAGTATTGCTCCTCTTGTACTGCATACTCAGTGCACACTATATAACATCATGACATTATGCTTCACGTTGTAATAGACTCTATATAACATAGAGGCCTTGTATTTGAAGCACAGGCCATGGATGACTGATTGAGATATATCTGTGCACAACAGCCAGTAATTCTAGCGGGAACAGATTGTCTTCTTCCTTCAGAGAGAGTTTTGCTCTCTCTCTCTCTCTCTCTCTCTCTCTCTCTCTCTCTCTCTCTCTCTCTCTCTCTCTCTCTCTCTCTCTCTCTCTCTCTCTCTCTGTGAATTCATCTCTGTCCCCCCTTTCCCTGCATTTAATTTGTTCACATCTATATTCTGCCTACATCTCCATCTCTCTCTTTCCCTCCCTCCCTCCCTCTCTCTCTCTTTCTCTCTCACCCATGCAAATTCATCCACCCCCTGCCGAGAGAGGAAGGGATTAAAGCCCAAAATGGATCGCTGTCGACAGCTATCTTCCCCACCATCTCGCCGTGCTGTACCTCTGTGTGTGATCCCTTACTGCCACGGAGACACCATAAGTATTCGGACAGACACTGTATAAAAAGGGCTGCATTTCTCTTCGAGTTCACTCCATATGGATGTGCAAACTCTCGAACTCAGAGAGCTCTCAATCTCTACTTTAACCTTGTGTATGTTAAATTCAAATCCAATGTGCCTGTGCACTGAGCCGAACAGCAAAAACATTATGCAATCGTCCAAGCTGTGAACTCTCAGGGAAAAAAAAAAAACAATTCTTAGGCCTGTCTCCATGGAGATTCTGTTTTTTTAAGTTCTTCCTGGAACCCTCTGTCATGGTGAGGTTTGAACTCCCAGGCCCTTTAGCCTGACAAATTACCACTGAAGTGCACAGAGTTCCTCTT